TCATCAAAACTCTCAAATCGTGAATTTATTTCCCAAGGCGTTATTTCGAAAACTGCCGCCATGGGCCGCCATCTTTGTCTCGTTAAGTATGAACGCGAATGGACTGCCATACCTCCAGCCCAGCCTAAAAATTACCTTTTTTTTTACGAGAGCTCTTTTTTGATTTTGTATGAAAAAAAGAGCTCTCGTAATTTTTTTTACGGGAGCTATTTTAGGCTTGGCCTGAGCTACTTTTCCATAGCATGATTTTGTTCACACAGCAAATTTTCATAATTTTGAAGCACTGACTTTAATAATGTCTCAGAAGCCAGAAATTGTGTCTAATTATCGTAAATTAGGTGTTTCCCAAACGAAAGTCAAGATTATGCTTTGGCGAAATTGACGAGGTCAACAATCATTCATAATGGTGACAAAATCACGGAGGCCGGGTTTACATGTTGCTGTATGCGTGTTGTGTACAAAGTATGACTGCATGCACTGATTGTCTCATTCGCATTATTTTTTCCATTCAAATCTCGTCGCAGCAAGGCAGCTTATGTCTGTGCAAAACAATGCAAGGGATGGGAGGAAACAGAAAAATTTCATTATGTCTAGCCATTCAATAAAAAAAACTTGCTTGCCCGAACAGGCAAGTGCAATTTCAAGCTACCTTCCCGGGGGCGAATTTTGGTTGCCCCGGGCCATCGGGCAAGCGGGTTTGCCGAGCCCGGCACCGGGTTCGAATTTCAGCTGAAAATCTAGTGGACAGCAGGACCTGCACAAAAATTTGGTGGGCCGCTTATTTACTAGCAGCTAGTGAGTATTAAAATAGTATATATAAAGAAAACCATTGTCATTAAAACAGCATACATGTAACTTGCAATTAGAGTTGGTCAAATAATGTTTCAATCTCTAGGAATGTCTGGGGAGCTTCTGGGTAAGGTTTTACTTTCGTTTTTCTCCTCCCCAGTCCACGGTACCCCCATGCATAGATCAATGCTGCCGCACATCCGCAAAGTTACAAGTGCCTAGAATCTTTAATTATATACAGTTCACATTGCTTCTAGATATCTAACTGAATAAAAACAGTCCACTTTCTACGTTAAGAAAAGTGACGAATTCAGTTAACAGCTTTGATTACGTGCGTGTCAGGTGTCACTGGTCGTGCCCTCACTCCCCACGATAACCCTTGCGATATATAATTGTTATGCGGTCATAAAAACACTGTCAGGAGGACCGCCAGTTTCATAGAGATGGTGGCCCGAGCAAAAACTTGGTGGGCTCGGGCCTCAGGGTCGGAACTAATTTCTAACGCTGCCGGCGGCACGGGAGCGATTTTTTCTCGTATCTTCCAAAATTTTCGCTCTCGTAATTTTTGTTACCAGAGCGCTTTGAAAGCTGACGGGAGCGAAATCGCTCGCCGCTCCCGTGTATTTTTTTCGCTGCTCCAGCCTCGTAAGTTAGAGATACAGCTGCCGTAAGAGCATAGCAGTAACAACTATACCCAATTTCAAACATGTGGGTCAAACGGTTCC